AAATATATAACCATGTTCGTTTTTATGATGTATTTTGATCAGCTAATTTACACTGTTTAATAATTTTCTATTATTTTTATCAAAAGAATTAATATACCTAATTAGTATAAGAATATATGTGTATTTTGATGAGACTTATTTGATTAATCTAATCAAACGAATTAAATATCTCTAGGTTCTCTGAGTATGTGCGCAGTGGTATTGTGACACAGGTGAAGATGCCAAAAACTTTGCACTTTACACCATTGCAAACTGCTCTGAAGAAACCCGAATTTCTCGTCACGGACTTTGGCAAATTTGATTATCCGGAACAGTTACATCTAGCCTTCCTGGCACTACATCAATATATGGCTGATAGAGGCACATTACCACGACCATGGAACCAGTCAGATGCTGACGAGTTCATTGCCATCGCTGAACAAAGCAAGACCAGCTACGGCTTTGATACTGAAATTAATGGCGAATTGTTACGCACGTTTGCTAAGGTGTCTGCTGGCGATTTGAACCCCATGAATGCTACGATCGGTGGTATTGTTGCCCAGGAGGTGATGAAAGCTTGTTCCGGCAAATTTCACCCTATCTATCAATGGATGTATTTCGACGCCATCGAATGTCTGCCCGTTGACTATTCAGAGCTTACCGAGGAAGATTGCTGTCCCACGGGATCCCGTTATGATTCTCAGGTACAATATTGATCAATAATTGATTGAAATTTTCTCTTTTCAAAAAAATTTTAGAAAATTTGAAAAAATTAGATAGTACTGTTTATTTGTAATAATAATATAATTTGATAATCACACTTTTTAAATCTGTAAATAAAAGTATAAAATAATTTCATTGCTCATATATGATCATTAATTCAATTTTTCATTCAGGTGGCTGTTTTCGGCAAGAAATTCCAATCCAAGATCGGCAGCTTGAAATATTTTGTCGTCGGTGCCGGCGCAATCGGTTGTGAATTATTGAAGAACTTTGCGATGATCGGCGTTGGCGCGGAAAATGGTTGTGTCACGGTAACAGACATGGATTTGATTGAGAAATCCAACTTAAATCGACAGTTTCTATTCAGACCATCTGACGTACAACAATCTAAGTCGGCGACCGCGGCCAGAGTAATCAAAAGCATGAATCCTAATATGAATGTAGTCGCACACGAGAATCGGGTGTGCCCGGAAACAGAGAAAATTTATAACGACGATTTCTTCGAAGTGCTGGATGGCGTAGCAAATGCACTCGATAACGTGAGTGCCCGTATTTATATGGATCGTCGATGCGTATATTACCATAAACCCCTATTGGAATCTGGTACGCTCGGCACTAAGGGCAATACCCAAGTAGTAGTGCCATTCCTCACTGAATCATACAGTTCGTCGCAGGACCCACCGGAAAAGAGCATTCCTATTTGTACGCTCAAGAATTTCCCTAATGCCATCGAACATACTCTGCAATGGGCTCGCGACAACTTTGAAGGCCTGTTCCGTCAGTCAGCGGAAAATGCAGCGCAGTACATTTCTGATACGCAGTTCGTCGATCGGACGCTCAAGCTGCCTGGGGTGCAACCTCTCGAAGTGTTGGAATCCGTCAAAACTGCATTGATTGACGAGAGACCATCCACCTTTACAGATTGCGTGGCATGGGCTCGTTGTCATTGGCAGGAGCAATACAGCAATCAAATCCGCCAGTTGTTATTCAACTTTCCACCGGATCAAGTGACTTCGAGTGGTCAGCCCTTCTGGTCCGGCCCGAAACGGTGTCCGGAGCCATTAATTTTTAATGTCAATGACATCCTGCACATGGATTACATCGTTGCCGCTGCTAATCTCAAGGCCAAAGTATACGGATTATCCACAACTCATGATAGAGAAATAATCGCCAGATATCTTAACTCAGTTAAGGTACCAGATTTCACACCCAAATCCGGCGTGAAGATAGCCGAAACGGATTCACAGGTAAGAAATAAATTAATAAATGTTTTAAACAATCGATGGAAATTTTAAATTGAGTTATTTAAAACCAGAAATTGAAAATAAATATCTTAGAAGTATAAAAGATTAACGATAATTGAAAACCTAGAAGAACCTAAAAAAAATCTTGAAAGTCTCAAAAGATATTTATATTAAAAATATTTCAAATAAAAAATTTGGAACTATTATAATTTTGCAATATCAAAAGAGAGAAAATTAAATAAGAGATTGGCTATGTTTTCAGGTGCAAGTATCTAACGGCAGCGGTAATATCGATCACGAACGGCTGTCGCAGCTGCAGGAAGAATTGCCGAAGGTGGAGGATCTGAACGGCCTGGCAATTTATCCGCAGGAATTCGAAAAGGACGACGATACCAACTTCCACATAGACTTCATCGTCGCGGCGTCAAACTTGCGTGCTACCAATTACAAAATTTCACCAGCGGATCGGCACAAGAGCAAATTGATTGCCGGTAAAATCATTCCGGCGATCGCCACTACCACCTCAGTGGTAGCCGGTCTCGTCTGTCTGGAACTTTACAAGTTGACCCGCGGCGTGCGCGACTTGTCGCTATACAAGAACGGCTTCGTAAATCTAGCGCTGCCGTTCTTCGGTTTTAGCGAGCCGATCGCCGCTCCCAAGCTCAAATACTATGACATCGAATGGACATTGTGGGACCGTTTCGAAGTAAAGGGCGAGTTGACATTGAAGGAATTCCTCGACTACTTCAAAGAACGTCACAATCTGGAAGTAACAATGTTGTCGCAAGGCATCTGCATGTTATATTCGTTTTTCATGGCAAAGGCCAAATGTCAGGAGCGTATGGGCCTGCTCATGTCGGAGGTGGTGAAGAAGGTGTCGAAGAAGAAACTGGAACCACATGTGCGCGCTCTCGTGTTCGAGCTGTGCTGCAATGACGAAGATGGGAACGACGTCGAGGTGCCGTACGTTCGTTACACTCTACCCTGACTCGCCCGTGCGGCCCCCGATCGCGCCAGATGATGTCTACTTAACTAAGACACTTAGCCGTACATAGTGATTTCTACAAATTTCTATTTTACGACGATGTAATACATACAGGAGACATTACTGCTGCTGATTCTCGTCTATGAATGTCTGTGTGAGGCACTCTTTCTTTCTACATATATACAGAGATTTTTTTGTCAGAGATGCGAATTTTCATGCGTTACTACCGCCAGCGCTTAGTAGTAGTGATCTTGAACAGCAAGTGCGCGCAACAACGAGATCAGATTCTTCGTTTCATTTAGGGAATAAAATTCATAGACGAATTCTATTTCCAGGTTTTCTCGATTGCTACGAATCTTGTCGGATTATGATATCAGAAGCGATAAAAGTATTGTATACTTTTACTATTCGAATTGTCATTTTTGTTAAATACAGAAATATCTAATTTATTTAATTTTTTACGAAACATTTTATGATGAAATTCTTTTTCTTTTAATTGATAAACAATCTATAGTCGAAAGAATAATAATAAAAAAATTAATAAATTCTTTATGTATCATGGATTTATTATTTAAATTAAATAAATTAACGGATTGTGAATTCTGAAAAGTTACATCTGTGTACGTCTATGCGTGTGCAAATTTTTCATACTCTTCGAATTTATATTTTGACATGCGCGAAAATAGATCGCATTTCTCACTTCTCTGATGTCATAATCCAATATACACGATTGCAGCGACGAAGTATTGCGTTCACCTTCCGGCTAAATTTAATTCTCGTTTTTTTCTTGGCTGCACCTTATTTTGACCGGTTAGCTCGTAATGCGTTCCCCAACATGATTACGATTCGATTGGAGAAAAGGAAGAAGAAAATTAGAAGCGAATGCCAAATTTCTACGAAGAGGATCTTTAAGAGATTGTGACTCTTTCGGCTCGCTCCACAAACGCATGTCGCACTGTTCCGTAGAATCTGATGTATAAATCAAACTGGAGAGATGAAACTCTTATTTTATCTCATGAGGTTCCTTAGATCGATGTATTATTAAACGTAGTTCCGTAGAGAAATATGTGAATAATCAGCCTCGAAGGCTTGTTGAAGGCAATACGTTTCGTTTCTTTCTCTTTTCTTCCTCTTTTCTTCTTTTTTTTTATTTTTCGCGCAAATGATTGTTTCGATAGAAACGAGAGAGCAACTGCGTGACTAGATCCTTGGATATACGTATTTCTTCATTTACTTTCTAACGTTCTCACAAAAGATTCGATATGCATTAAGGGTTTATCTAATCTATAAAATATTGTTTACACCATTTTGCTTTGCAATGTCTTTCTCAAATAATGATAATGTAATAGTAATAGCAGTAGTAGTAGTACTAATAGTAATAATAATAATAATATTAATAATAATAATGAATAAACTATTGGCTAAGGCTGGTTGTTGTTACGACGTATACACTGCATTTAAATTTATAAAAAGATAATCTTTGGAAGAAAGAGAAGCTTTTAAAAGAAGAGAAAAATGAGAGAAAAGAAGAAAATAATAAAAATTGCGTACACTTTAGACCAAGGGAGACAACAGATAAACAAAAGGAAAAATATTTTGTTAATTTTAGAATATAATGCGGATATTTATTATATATATAAATATAAATCATTTCGTCGATAGACAAATAGATGTGTTTGGATTTCAAGAAGTAATGAAATAACGAAAATAAAATGGGAAGTGTACGCCTCGTCGTGTTTTATACCATTCTAAAGACGAACCCATCATCTTTAATCAATTCCAATAAGTTTGATTTTTTGCGATAAAAAGATTTGAAAAAATTGGAAAAAAATTTGTGGAATTGTTTTCTTTCATTGTCGATCTGCGCGAGAATTTTTGGCGTGTTTGTCAGAATGTATTCAAAATTATTTAAAAAAATTTTGTTGAAACTATCAATATTACACATCATCGCATTCTTAGCATTTATAATTCTTTATTAATTTTCTTTTTTTAATATTTTATATCATTTTTCGTATCAATCTCCGTGAATCCATGTGGATGGACCTTAATCAGTGTTGGCAGCGCCGCTCTGGCATAGGACCTAACCTCTTCTTTTCTTCACAGATCGCGAAGAAAAACAACATGGCGATTGCGATTTGATTGGGAACAAGGACAATTTTTTTTGAGAGGTTATCTCAAGCGCAACGCCTGTCACGCGCAGTCCTTTGAAGTTATATCGAAGTTACGGAAGTATTGTACGATGGGAACTGAACATTTAATTTATGCCTGCTCTCTAATTTTAACGTTTTATCTCTCAGTTGTCTTTTGTGAGATTGAACCGCGTTATGATGAGAAAATTGAACTATTCGCGACATCGACAGTAAGTATCCTAAGATAAGACTTCTCTCGGCTATCCTTCAAATCCTTCAAATTCTCACGTTCATGATTTATATACAAAGACTTTATTTGCGAGAATTTCATCAAATCGGAAAAGATTCAAAAGTAAATTCTCTAAATTTTTAATTCCAAAAGATATCACCAGTTCTAAAATTTCCAAATGAATTTTCAAATTTTGAAGAAATTGAAAGGTTAAAAATGTTTAAAGCTTCTAAAATTAAATTTTTAAAAGTTCCTAAAGCACTCTCCGAAATTAAATTTCATGTTACAAAGTTACAAACTTTACAAACATTATTAAAAAGATGTTTTATATATCTGTAAACTCCTTTTAACATATAAAATATTTTTAGAAATTGCCGGAGTTCGTGTCCGAGAAGCCACAGACTGGAATGGGCTTCCTGCATGCCTTCGTAGCATCTTTGTCAGTAATCGTGGTATCTGAATTAGGAGACAAAACATTCTTCATCGCCGCTATTATGGCAATGAAGCATCCACGGTTGACTGTATTCATTGGTGCAATAAGTGCTCTTGCATTGATGACCATTCTCTCAGGTATCACTGTGATAGAATAGTATCTAATAATTTCACAGATATTACATATTGTTGATATTACATATTGGTTGTAAAATACATGTATCTTGATTCCCTGAATGTCTTTTAAATGTCATTAATATAAGATCAACATTTCAGTAATAATGCTATAATAGTTTATAATAATTTTAATTTACTCGTATATCTGTTGTAAACGATAATCATAACATTCATTAACATGAAATATCTTTTATTGTACTTCCAGTGGTGTTCGGATATGCGGCCACAATAATTCCTCGTGCTTATACCTACTATATCTCCACTCTTCTCTTCGCTTTGTTCGGATTAAAAATGTTACGAGATGGATATTATATGTCGCCGACAGAAGCGCAAGAAGAACTAGAAGAAGTTCAGTCTGATTTGAGAAAAAGGGATGACGAGGTAAAATTATAAATTTTGCCAAATTTTTTAAACCATCAGATACAGCACAATATCTTACATGGCTCACAAGAGTTATCTATGAAGAATGAAGAAACTATTTCATTTTTTCATCCCTCTTTAGAAATATCTTTGTTCAATTATAAAAAGAATTATAGAGATACTCTACTGAAAGAATTTATTTTTGGAGTGTAATAAAAAAATTACTTATTTAAATAGTATCGTTTTTGCAGGAGATTAAATAATTTTCATTGCTTTCAGTATGAAAAGGAGACGGCAAGTACTTTAGTTCAGGATCCAGAAACCGGAGTAATACGCAAAACTACTAGCAAAAGCAGTGCACTCATGCTGCTCTCTAGGATATTCTTACAAGCATTCACCCTTACCTTTCTCGCGGAATGGGGCGATCGTTCTCAGTTAACGACTATTATCCTTGCAGCAAGAGAGGTACTTTAGTATAACGATTTTACTGCAACAGAGCATCTTTATAAGTATCAGCGTTTAATTATGATCATGCTATTTTCAGGATGTTTATGGAGTCGTTCTAGGTGGAATACTTGGTCATTCATTTTGTACAGGCTTGGCAGTTATAGGAGGACGTATGATAGCTCAAAGAATATCTGTGAGAACAGGTAATTGACAATATTAAGAGTTTATCAACAATGTCTAATATTCTTAATATTTTTAGTGACCATTATTGGAGGCTTAGTGTTCATATTATTTGCCGTAACAGCACTCTTCGTCAACCCCGTAGAAAACGTTTGAGGATAACTCTTCCTTAACTTCAAAAATTTTTACCAGTATTTCTTTATGAACGTTGTATATTGTGAGAGTATTGTAAGTTTGTACATAGTGATCTGTTCTATTGAATTTTTGCAGAACCACAAAGTTAACCAATCGCTGACCAGTTTTAACCAGCGAGAAAGAAACTTGTCTTCTTAATATATATTATATTTTGTTGCATTAAACGTACGCGCTAGCACAACATGCTCCGACGCTTTCCGTGAAATAATACGAAATAGGTTTTTCTTATCTCCGCAACAGAAAGTATGCTGAAGCATGTTGTGCCAGCGTGCATCAAGCGCAACACTTTGGGGGGTCGTAACGAAATAAGCTTTTACGTAACTTTAGGCTTGTTTTTCAATATAGAGACCGATCGTGTCAAAGATCTGTCAGCTTTAAAAATAACAATATGTAATTAAGAGCTCGATCTTCTCCTATCTTGGCTTTTAGTAATTGATATTCGCAGCACGAATGTAAGTGCTTGGAAATATCGATGAAGAACAAAATTTCTTTTACAGTTAAATAATCAAATCACACAGATGTTTAATTCTTATATCTAATTTTTCATTGTCGATCATAAAAAAGAAATGCCTCATTGCAAAGTTCCTCTCTAAGAGGAACTCCGTTCCACTAATGTAAGATTAATTTTAGTTTAATTTTTTATTTATCTTTTTCTAATTGTTAGAATAATTTTAATTTTTATAATTAGAAAAGATAAATAGTAGGTGAACCGAGATTAAAGTTAATTTTATCATTGGAGGAACCTAAGTTAAAAAATTATTTTTGTATTATCAAATTAATATTTTGCCAAAAAAGAAAATATTTTTTTGTACTAATAACTTCGAATCTTTTGAATTATTTTTTAATTTAAATGATATAATAATATAGCGAATTCGATTGGACGCACTAGTGCGCATTCATATAAAAGCAAAATGTATACTGATTTAATCTGTGTGAAAGTAATATACAAATATTACGAATTATAAAATACAGATTTTACTTAACAACACAATAAAATATTTTAAGGATTTTATGATTTAATCCGTTTTTTTTATACACGTATTTTTGTGTCAACATTTATGTATAACATTTATGTACGGCGACTTTTATGTACACCAGTGTGAGTGCATTCAATCGAATTCGCTAATAGTAACATTGATGTGGCATTCATAACATCGAGATTTTTTTAATGCTACATATTGCCGAATTTATGTACCTAATGTCTGCTTCTGTGCAGATTTTAACATTAATACATTATTATTATATACCCAATTGTACTTCATATGAATAAGCTTATCGCCTGTATTATATTTGTACATGCAACTTGTAAGATACTATAGAGAATGTAATATATAACAGTAGAACAAGATTGTATATCGGCATAATGCCGATATAAACAATTTGATGGAACAAAAAAATGTGACAAAAAGGAATATTCATTCGTTTTTCAATAGAACAAAATTTCTATAAATACAATTGTAAATAGAATATTTCTACACTAAACAATGATAAATACATACAATTATAATGTAGTAAAATTATTTTGAAAAATCTATTTTATATTATAAAAGAAATTTCTTATGTGGAAATATAAATAAGTATTGTAAAGTAGACAGTACAAATACAGAATTGTTACGAATGAAAATCATGTTATACGAATTTCCAGTGTTTTACATTTTCACAAATTTACTCTCGAAAAATTAGTAACATTTCAGAGAAATTAGAACACTTTATAGAATATCGTGCTTTAATATGATATGTTAAACCTGCAATCAGAAATTTATTGTTATATTAATTAAAAATCATAAAACTGAAATCTTTGAATCTAACTCGATACTGTCGAATATTATAGGCGTGTTGTAAAGGAAAAATTCATATTGTGTGTTTATATTTTGTCATATCAGCTTTGTCGAATATAATTTTATTAGTGCATGTATATACATGAGTTCTATTTACACTACAGAATAAATCTTCAGGAAAAGCGGTAAGTTCTCAAATACAACAACTTCGAGTCATGAAATTTTCAGATAGTAAAGTAGATTCTATTTTTTCCTTTTTATATATATTATTAACTACGTTCCCTTTGTTATTTTTTTTTCTCTGCATCGATAATATTAGAAAGGTAAATACGCTTTCCACGTCGTCAAGCCACAAAAATCTCCTAACTTAAAAATTTTGTTAATCACGAGTACCTATAGCAATGTTTCGTAAACAGACAGAAAAATTGCAATGTCAATCATAATTTGCAAATATGCGTTTTATTTATAATGCAGCAATTAATAATTTAATTTATGATAAAAAGTTAAATTTAATAATCGCGCGATTGATAAATTCGTATAAATTTTCTATAAATATTCTGTCTGTAAACACTGTGTTTATGAAATTAATTTTATTTTTATAATTGATACCAATCAAATCGCACAGGGCAATTTTTCGAAGTAAAATTATCAACATTAGAATTGGTATTAAAAATATTTCAAATAAACAATATCCTCTTTATTCTGAAAGATATGAAATTTTATTTTTGAGTTATGAGCTTTTTACGGCTCAACGTTGTTTTTTTTTTTATTATATCGAATAATAAACATTGAAGTGTCGATGCTGATAACTATTATTTTTTTATCCATAAATACTAACTCGAGTATGACATTTTGCGTCTTAAGATAGGATAAATCGCTGTTATCTCCGCGAAACCTCCTGTCTTTATCTTTCATATAAAAAAGTTGGTATGAAAAAAATATCTATATAATAAATAAATATCTGTCTAATATTTAAGCCTCAACAGGCACCAAATTTTTTTGAATTATGATATGTATATAATCTCTTAAGAAGAATATTAAAATTAAAAAGGAACGAGACTTTTATAAAGAATCACCTCTTTTTTATATTTTATTATTAATTATATAATATTTTTTTATACGGCAAAAATCAAAAAATCAAAATATTGTTTTCTGTCTAAAATTAATAATCACATTGAACATAGCGTACATAGATTATCAAGTCCATATATTGTCTATCCGTTTGTATATTTTTTTTTTCAAATGCAACTTTCGGAGATTAGATGATACGGAAGTCCAGATAATATTCTAAAGAATGATATATTATCATTCTAAAATTATTTTAATATCTCTTTGCTAGATTAATTGTATCTCATCGATTAAAACTATACACTGAACTATAATCTGTGCCAATAATTTTCTTTAAGAATGGCATAGAAATCGCCCAGCACGTATGCCACGGACGAAATGGGTTTATTTATTTTATCATAATGTTTCGTTTGTCATATCAACAAATTTATTTTCATCGCGAGGAGGTTTTGCGAAAACAACGTCGATATGGTGATTATGAGTCTAATCGAATTTAAATAGAACAAATTTATTTAGAAAACAGCGTAAAAAAATACTAAGTTAAACAATGTAAAATTAAATCATGCTACGACGTGAGTGACGCTCGAATCGTGCAAGTTTCGTATACTTATACATGTACTATTATATGATCGACCTTACATAATTAGTAACATTAATATTAACTATACATAACTGTTGTGGAAGAAACAAAAAAACATTATTAGCATGCGCGCATCGTCGTTACATTATAGGAAATGTAACATTGCTACAATTAGAACGCAGGATCGTTACGATGTTCAATGTAGCACGTATTTGATGGTGCAGCTATACTATTTTCTACGATTCGCGATCGGTAAAGTTCTCTGTTAACTATTTAAATTATTTAAATTAATTCACTGAGAGCAAATAATCGGACTATGTCTCGAAGAAATCGGAAATTCGTACGCAAAACGATTAATGATTCATCTCAATGGAAAATCAGCGGTGGAGAATACTATAGGATTAAACATTTCGAAAGACGCGAATAAATAAGTCGGACAAATATTATCTTACACATACATGTATATATGTATCGTGTGTCCCGCTTACCTAATTAATAAACTTATGTGCTGGATCATTCATGGTGGATTCGGCTGGGAGGAGGTCATTCTACTTTGTGCTTCAAGGGCTCGGAGTTTCTCGAGCCTATACATTGGATCCATGAGATCCTTTTCGTCAGCAACCGCGGCTGAAGACTCTGTGGTTTCTGTATCATTTATTTTACATGTGACTAAATAATTAAAGACAATGTTATTTTGTGCGTGCTTACATTGCGTGTGAAACAAATTCCAATGTTTGAACGAAGATCGTGGATTTTTATCTATTTTTATTTTATTTCATATATTCATATTAAATCGACAAGACGAAAGAGCAAGTCGTTTTGTTAACATCAACTCTTTTATGCTCACTAAATTGAAAGATTCAGCTACTTACCCATAGAGTACTGATTGTTAGCTTGCGACAAAATAGTCTGATTTTTTCGCGCCTGATCGATCTCCCTTAATCCCTGTTCTATGAAGTCTTGAAAGAATTGGTGAGATTTGACCAGAAATGGTTGTACGTCAGCTTCCGGATATTGAAGTTTGAAATCATATAACTGCACTAGGCCCTACAAAAATATGATTAAATGGCTAAAAGTACACTTTAAATTGCAAAAACGTCATTAAAAACCTCAAGAATGAGAACAATACGAGGCATTTTAAAATACGACAAAGTAAGTAAAAGAAAGATTAATAATTTTCGCAAATATTTAATAATTTTAACAACTGAAATATTTTTTGTTTTATTAAAAAAAAAACAAGACTTTTTTAGTTGCACATAAATATATACCTCTTGCATTTGTTCTTTTGATCCGATTTTCTTGAATATTTCTGCCAGTTGCTGACGAGTAGACTTGGACAAGTGTTTTGGCGTTCTTCCTACATTATTCGATTTTGGTGTCACTTTTGCTGCATTAATTTCATCTGGCTTAAGACTCTATTGCGATAAATATCGTTAATTACTTCCTGATATGTATAATTTAATACATATATAGTGCTAATATCTTATATCAACGCGATATGATAACTATATTTAAATACTTTAAAATCAATGTACTTTTATATATATATAAAACGCAACTAACCGCAATTAATCTTATTAAGTAAGCGTGCAACTCAGATTCATTTGTATTGTTTATTAGTGTCAAATGATTAAGTATCGAACTGCCTTTCACCCTGGTCATACTGTGAAGAACCGTCTTGACTGTTCGTAGTGGAGTATCGGACTTTCGTTTCTTCCACCACGTAGTAGGATAATCCTACATACAAAAAATAACATATATATATATATATATATATATATAGAATGTACAAAATGTTATCGCACTGAAATATTTAAGACACAGTAAAAAAAATAAATACAACATTTAACTTATTAATAGCTCATATAAGTTGCAAAATATAACAATAGCAATCTTTCTTGTATATATTCTCATTTACTTTAAATAATTGGTCATTATATACATAGAATATTATCAAAAAATTACTCTACCTTA